CTGCGCATCTTGGTTCCATCCCATCTCATTTGGACTATGTGTGAGCTTCATCTTGTGTGTGAGTCATTGTCAATGCATGCGTTGTGATACACTCCAGCAAGAGGAGGACATTCAGGTCCCTTGCACAGGCCACTGCCCCCCTGATAACAAACCCTAATAGAGCCTCACAAAGAGATACCCTCATTCGCTATGACCCGGCCAAAGACGCAGGCCTAAGATGGCACACCCGTATGCAAACAGTTAAAACCAAGCCCAGCGAGATATGGACAGAACAGGACGTCCAGAGGCAGGGACTGGCCGGACGTTTTGTGTATCCAGGAGACCCACCTGACGGACTCCTCAGAGCATAACCGTATTCATAAAATGATCTGGCCATATAAAGCATTTAGAGCCCATGCTCCGAGACCCGGGAGGGGTAGCCATTTGGTTCCCTCCCGAATCCCGAGCGGACCCAGTGCACTGGGCTGTTGACCAGGAAGGGGGCAGATGGGTGTCTGTTTTAGCCACCCTGGAGTTGGAGATTGTATGCATTTTGTGTATCTATGCCCCTAACACTGTGAGCGAGAGAAGAGCCTTCTTTGAGAAGATTAAAACACAAATTCCATACGGCGTCCCGGTCATCATAGGAGGTGACTATAATGCAGCCCCCGACCGCAGGATGGACAGATGGAGAATTCCCTCCCCAGCCCCGTCGTAGGTGGAGCGGATGATAACCTAAGTCTCTCCTTAAACGTCTTCGACTCCTTCCGAAGACTTAACCCGGGCACACGCTTCTTTTCGTGCCTACGCAAGACTGGGACCGACAAGTAGTCCCGATCCAGAATTGACCTGATCCTGCTCTCAGAGGATCTGGCAGGGGCTATGCTGCTCGCAGCAATACTGCCGGCCAGCCCATATCCAGGTCTCAATCACAAAATGTGCGCAGTAACCTTGTCATTTCGAAAGAAACCCGATCACGGGCCCGGATTCTACAAACTCAACGTTTCGATCTTACGGCACGAGACATTCCGGAACTATATCAAAGACTGCTGGACATTCTGGCACACGCAGAAACAACACATCCCGCAAGGAATAGAATGGTTTAATAACGGTCTCTTCTACCTAGGAAAGAAATGTCAAGAGTACTCCAAGCAACTAGCAGCCAGAAATCATCAGCAGAAAATGAACATTCACCTACAACTTCATCAACTTGAGCAACAGGACGCGGACAACAACCAACACACAGCCAGACGAACACTCAAGAGATACAAGTCCTACAACAACGTCTCCAAACCTTCGCCTCACAACGCTCGGAGGGTGTACGTATCAGAGGGCGACTGACATGGCATCAAAAGGAAGGCTCCATGGACAAAAAGTTCTTTAGTCTGGCCCGAGCGCATATGCGCAGAACAACGATAGCCTGGATCGGCCGCTAGCCAAGGAAGAAATTTGGACAGCAATGATGCAGATGGAGAACGAAAAAACCCCGGGTGCGGACGGGCTCCCCAAAGAAGTTTGGGAAACCTTTTGGTCCCAGATGGTCTCAGACCTCATGGATTTCTATAACCTGGTATGGGAGACCGGAAACATGGGGGAGCTGGTGGGACAAGGTGTTCTCACGTTGTTGCACAAAAAAGGAGATATGATGGACATTAGAAACTACCGGCCGATAACGCTGCTCACTGTCATATATGAGATGCTTGAGAAAGCCTAAGCGAACCGGTTGATTGGATCAGATTATCCACCCGACACAGACAGGCTTTGTCAAGGATCGCAGGATTCAGGATAACATTCTATTGGTAAATGAATTGCTTAAGTTAACCAGGCAAGACAAGCAAAACGTGGTTGTAGTCTTCATAGACTTCGAGAATGCCTACGACCACGTGGACTGGCTGTTCTTGGACCGGTGCATGGAAAAAATGAATATAGGCCCGGTCTTTCACCGATGGACTGAAATCCTGCACCGCAACGCCACCACAAGCGTCCAAATTAATGGCAGAATAGCGCCAGCAATTCCTCTACAACGGTCGGTCCGTCAGGGAGATCCCCTGGCCCCGTTTCTGTTCATATAGTGATGGAAGCGCTGGCAGCGAATCTTCGTGCAAACAAAAACCTGAGGAAGCTGCAGATCTCAGCCATTCCGGAAGAAGCTATCCCTGTTTGTTCGATGTTCGCTGATGACCTGACACTCATGGTAGACGCCACCAACGAGAATATGGAAGAGATCAGACGATTGTTTGACAAATTCATGGCTGTTTCAGACATGACAGTTAATTGGGGTAACAAAACCCTTGGGTGGTGGATACACCACCAAGGGGTGCGCCCCCCGGAGCTGCCACAGGTTAAATGGCTCCCGGAAACAGCCCCGGTGAGAGTGTTAGGAATAATGTTGACAGCAACAGGAAAACCAACATCGAACGATGACTGGATCCTCAAACCTGCTCTAGAGAAGCTGGCGCGCTGGAATGACAAACATACTTCCTTAATCGATAGGGCGCTGGTGATTAACAGTGTGGTGTTGGCCGCCCTTTGGTACAAATTTGCAATATGGGCGCTTAGCAAAGAAGCAGTGCGGTCGCTCAAACGACAAATAACGGCAATGTTGTGGAGGGGTAATAGCGAGCTTACTAATGTTATACATAGGGCAGCATGGACGTCGGTGATCCAACCCAAGGACAGAGGAGGCTTGGGCATTTTGGACCCGGGCACCCAGGTCACAGCACTAATGGTGCAGTGGATCAGGAGATTGGTGTTCACACACGACCTCCCTTGGCATGCCCTGGCGCTGGAACAGATCGCCCGGCTCGCTCCACAAGCCCCTCGAACAGTAAACCCCTTGTCTTGGCTGGAAGACCGCTTCTGGTCCTTGCCTCGACGCTCTCGTGCGAGCCAGGACCCGAACCGGGATGCAGTCCGCAGCGACCTCGTAAAGGACGATTTCTGGATCCGCTGCATGAAAGCCTGGTGCCAACTACCGTTGCCAGACAGATTTGGGCCAACCAGATGGGAGGAGGTGGCTCGACAACCCCTGTTCGGGAACAGAAATATCACGGATCGACAAGGGAGGGTCTATCGCAGCTCCGACCCCCCGTGGAACAGCTGGGTCAAAAGGGGCATAACCAGAGTTAAGGACATCTGGGACTCAAAAAACAAGGGCTGGAAAGACAGAGTCACAGATGAGGATGTTGCTGAAGCATTGTCATAATATAGAAAACAACCTGGAAAGTCTAATCTTCGCGATTCCCCTGGATTGGGTGCGCATCCTGCGAAAGGGACCGAAGCTGACGGAAGGGGACTGGGTGACGGTCCTCGGCGATCCAGAGAGTGTGGGAAATGTAGTAACAACACACACGGATGAAACGCTGATTAATCTCTTTCAAAAAGAAAATGACAACAAACTAACCAAATATGCCCCGGACGTAACGAGATGGTATCGGAACACTGATCTTTACAGGATCCCGGTGCTACGGGATAAGGAGGACTGCATGGTATACCAGTCGGGGACCTGCATTACGGATCTCCCCTTTGACCCAGAGGAGTGGCAGTGGCCCCCCGCGCGCAGAACCCCGAAGACACAGAACGTGAAGCTCTACAGCCTGATAGTGAAGGCCACCTATCGTTTACTGCGCCCTAAGGTGAATCTGAAAGATATCGTAAAAACCCGTTGGAGATCCCATCTGAATGTCGGGGTTGACGCCATCCGCCCCATTCGGTGGTTCTCCCTCACAAGGGCCAAACCTGCCAAGCTAGCCTCACTGCAGTGGCAGATAGAGCACCGCTGCCTCCCCACTAATGACTGGCTTATAGACCGCACCTACCTGGAACAAAAAGAACTGGCACTCCCGTGGTGCAAATCGTGTCACACGGCATTCCCCTCCCGTAAGATCCCGGAAACCATAGAACACATTTTCTTGCAATGTCCGGGGTCTGTTCTTACCTGGCGATGGTGGGACAGGATTTGGAGGCTGCTGGACACCGGAACAAACTGGTCATGGGACTGGAGGGCGAGCCTGTGCGAGACACGAACCTCCCCTGCATCTAGTACCTTTGAAGATAACATGTTTAAAATAGGGAGGAGAGCGGTTATGTGGGCAATCTGGAGGAGACGCTGTATACACGTCATGGAGGGAGTCCGCATAGCCGGGGAGGAAATGACAGACATGATTAAACAATTCATACACCAAGAACTTATGACGCAATGGCAGAAGGTCAAAAGTCAGCTGGATCTGTGCCAAACAAAGCAAGAAATAGAACAAAAAATTCGACAATTCTCGGGGGACTGGCTGGGCGGCGCGAACGGAGGCCGAATCTCTTCCATAAAGACTATCAGATCTGTTTCAGAGACTGGACAACGGTGGGCCAAGGGGTTCCGTTATGGCCACCATCGGATTTTCCCGACCCCTTTCCACCCCATCAGTTGGCAGTAGTGGACATGCAGTGGTATGGAGCGGAGTAAGCAGGACTGCAACAGGATAGATGTAGGGGTGCCAGCATCAGCTCCTCATTCGGAGAAGGGAACCAGTTGGTAGCAGCACATATCTGGCGCCTGGCATAGGGCGAAGAGGTTCCTGTCACCATACAACCTGCTCAGTTAATCCTCTGAGCCCCAGAGCAATCAATGCTGGCAGGGTTTTCTCTACTTCAGTCTGAATTTTCGCTATGTATATGGGACGCTGGACCCGCTTTCCAGCAGGTGACGCTCCCCACCAATAGATGGAGCCTCCACCCCGGTGCTAGCGGTGTTTGCTCTTACCAGCACCTCTAGCACTGGTGAGGGTTGTTTCTGTAAATTAAAAAAAAAAAANAAAAAAAAAAAAAAAAAAAAAAGAAGCTTTTCTCGCCAGAAATGCACCAAGATACAACCGGACTGAGACACACCTGGGCATTCTGCATCTGCAAGCAATAGCATAAGTGGTCACGGATCTTTGTTGAATAATCACAGATGGTTTATGCATTACTTTTACACACTCATATACGGCCAATCCTACAGCCCCCCAACGCTTTTCGACCTACCCACTTACCCTTTGGCACTCACCATATCTGCTTCCTCTTGACGGAAGAATACAATATCATTGGCAAGGTCTCTGAGTGTCTGTCCTGGCAAGCCAATCATCACACCTGTCCCAATCTGGAACCCAGCCCTCTTGGCTGTTCGCAGGCATTTGAGCCGCTTCTCAAACATCTGATCGCCAGGATGCAAATCTGAAAACAGCTCAGGATTTGAGGTTTCAATCCTGAGCAGGTACCTTGAGGCTCCAGCATCATACAGCCTTTTGTAAGTCTCTTCCGAAAGCTCCCCAACTGACAACGCTACACACAGTCCCAATTCCGTGGCCTTGAGCCGATCAGTATTCACACCCCTTGCCCTTCTCTGCTCCAGGTCTTTTGCAATCGTTTTCCTCCTTATCTCTCTGATCAAGTCCACAAGGTACTCCATCCTCTGCGGCGAATTCAGTTGTCCAGCTTGCAGCATCAGAGTTCCATACTTGTGATCAAATGCCCACATGGCCACAGACACGACATCCTCCTTCGGTATCGTGTAACGATGAACTCCCTCTTTGTGCTTTCGAATTCCACAATAATAACAATCCTGATATTCAATCAAAAGACAAACAGAGAAGAATCAGTTTTCCTTTGACCAATTCCTCCGTGGCCTCCAGCATTTTGCCAATTTACCAGCATGTGCATCAGCAAGGAGGTTCAGAGGGATTGGGGATCGGGGATGGTCAATACTTGGCCAAGGCTTCATTGGTGCATATACGAGCAAGAACAGTTTTTTGCAGTAGGAAATGACAAGCAAAATCAAGCCAGAGGCCTTTGGTTGCTATCACCAAGCGTAGGATTGATCTTTTAAAGGGCCGACCACTCATCTAATTACGGTCTGAACCGTCTGGATGACTTGACCTGTACAGGCCTTGCCCAGATTGTTCATCCAGACAAGCGTCTAGATGTACTTGCTCCCAGCCATGGCTGATTTCCCATGGCTGGCTGCAATATGACATTACCCCATGCCTGCAGAGCACAGGAAAAAATTCATGCTCAGAGACGGGAAGGTTGGGGACTCCAACAAACACATGCCTGCAAAATTTCGGTCATTAGTTCGCTGACCTGGCGGCAGCATTTCACAGGCCATGGAGATCACTGCTATTGATGGACGAGAATGTGGCAAGCATGGATGAATGTGCAGAAGTTTTGTAGCAGAAGCTGATCTGTGAGGAGAGAAGCAGAGAGGGGAGTGGTGAGAAGCAAGGGGAAGAGTCATGGAGTCTTGAGGTCGTTTCAAGGTTGTAAAGACTTCTGCAGGCCACAGCTGTCCGACTGATATTGACATCATCTCTCAGACTTCAATCATTTCTCCTATATGGAATGACCTGTGGTCTTGCAGCACCCTAAGTCCATTCCAGGCCAAAACTGCTGGACACAACCGTACCTGCGAATACCAGAAAGGATTTGTCTCCAATTTTCCCAGGCCTTCAGGCCTGAAGCTTCTGGTACTACCAGGCCTTCAACGTACCTACTTCCAATTGATCCCAGATACACAGTACCTGCCTCAACAGAGGCGTGTACTGGGACCGGCGGGGCACAAGAGAAGCTCCTGAGGTCTGAGCTGCAATCAGACTCACTTTCGTTCACACTCCACATGCATGTAAACAGGGTGCGCAGCAAACTGGCGACAGGCGCCCACTCAACACCCAGAGATATAGTAACCAAGAACACAGTTCAGATACGAGCTCACTTCAGATGGCTATGGCGCATCAGCGCCTGCACAACTCTCTGTTCGCACACAGGATCAGCCTGGATATCCCACACGCATCAGACTGTACACACTCACACACATACACGCTACACTCTTCTATCAGCTATGGCGGCTATGGCCGCTACTACCCCTATCGCTATAGCTAAACTCTCCTTCTCGCCCACTTTGTCTTCAGGCTCACTGCAGACCGCCTCGCACAAGTCGATATGGCAGCGCTTCCGCATGGCTTACACAGGCATGTATGAATGGCTGGGCGCTGCCTCTTGATTTATACTGCTGTAGCTCGTTGGTCTGCCCCTTTCCCATGCCCTTGGTGCACACAGCCCCACACGGTACTTGCTTGACTGGACTGTGACTGACTGGGACCGGTACCGCGGACTGCAGTCGTTTGCACTGTCAACTCAATGCAGTCGCACTGCCGACGTACCGCAGTTGGGCTCACCACTTGCCCACTTCCCTCTGTCTAAACGTGAACAATACTTCGAAAGGCCACCACTAGGACCTTCCGGAAGGCTGGAGACTTGGCCTTTCGAACACTGTAGCAGATACGACCTTGACCTTTCAGGACTGTAGCAGCTACGACGTTGACTGCTCAGGACACCTACAGCTACGACCTCTAGGCCTCACTAAGACCTCTATCCAATAGGTCTACAGATCGAACCCCTACCAACCTACGGACCTACGACAGCGTACCAACTGTTGTGAATACACAGGTCACAGGTTCAACTCTCAGGGTCAACACAGATACTGTACATGGGCAAGGTAAGAACTAGGGAGCGAGCCCTGGGATCTGCATTCGCTACTGCAAACAGGTGAATACCGTTTCACTCCCGCCGGCCTAAATTCGAGGTCCTCCGAGATTAACTCAGTTCAAGGTAGGACCTTTACCTTTTCTATCTCTCTCATACGCTCTAACTATGTCGGGAGCTGTTTCTAGAAGTTCTGTCTTAGTAAAACAGCGGTCGTCCTCTGGTTCCTGATAAGCAAACCGGACCTTGTATTGTTTCTGTGGACAACCTCTACCTCCTGTTCTTTATACATCTTCACCTACAATGCCATCAATGTCGGACCTTCCGTCCATGTCTGGAGGGATCATAGACCTTCTAGATTGGAACTGTTGGCTTGTGACACACGGCAACAACTTTGATGCATGAAACACAGGGTAGGTGTGGAGGTGTGCTGGGATCTCTATTGTATAGGACGGTCCATCCTCTCTGCCCTTGACTTCTAGAACTGGCCATGGTCCCCTGTACGCTGGCAGTAACTTCTGCGAGATGTTTTCCTCCGGAGCAAACTGTTACATCTTCAACTCACACGGGTCCTACCGGACCCGACTTAGGGCCGGAGGGACACACCAGGGCCTAAAGGCCCGACCTTTTGGGGTTACAGGCCCTAAAGACCTGATTTTGGACCAGCACCCATCGGGTAGGCCCAAACGACACTTCGTTTGGGCCTGGCGGCGCTCTTGAAGCTGCCGCCCGCCGATTGAGGCTGAACCGTCCATCTGGACGGTCCAGGGTCTGGCCTGGCCTCGCAGCATTGAGGCCAGACCATTGYCTACCGGTATAAGTACCGGTATCCTGCCTCAGTTGGGGATCGGCCTACCGGAACTCTACCGGCACGGCATGGTCAGTACCAGCGTACTGTTTGGATGCGCTAAACTTAGCGCAGGGGCTGAAGCAGGAGCGCAGCATAGCGCAGCTTAGCGCAGCAGCGAGCGGAGCAGCAGCAAGGCGACTGAGCCAGCACGGCGGCCATTGCCGCCTGAGGTACCGGGAGCTTGGAGGGTCTCTCCTCCTCTCCCTCGCCAGTCCCCTCTCTCTCT